AACCTCTATATCACGTAGGCTCCGATAACATGTTAGAGGATCAACTCAACCAAAAGTTTTAACTGATAGCTGAGGCCCCGAATTATGTTTTATACTCTATCAGGTAGAATTAGATAGTGGGTAAGAGAAGGAGAATAAATAAAATTAAAAAACAGTAACATTAGAAAATAGAGACGGAAAAAAAAACAAATGGAAAGCTATATTGATTTTCATTACTTTTATTCTTTTTCTTAAAAAATAGGATAAACTAATAGAGTTGACAAATGAATTAACCAAATGCAAACATGTTAACTCCGTAATTAGTACGGATCGGAGTACCATGTTATTTGGATGGTACCAACTACAAACAAAGCCAATGCAAAGTTGCAAACATGCCATATTATTTGGTTGGCTCATGAATCAAACAAACCTTCACATTAAAAGAACTTACCCCCGTGTATCTAAATAGTGAATCAGTTTACCTAGCAGGCTAGCACACATGTCAAAGTATGATTTTGACCATTAATAATTTTAAATATTTAATAGCAAATTAAAATTTATAAAAAGTTATCAGAATATACAACATGATTAATCTAATAAAAGTTTACATATTAACATTAGTATTTGTATCATAGTATAAAATCAAGTTAAAATTGATATATAAATAGTGCAAAAGGTGAAAAAATACGTACTTATTTAGAATTTTAGATATGAACCGAATAATAAATGTCTTAGTGCCTGTGCAATGCACAATAATAATAATAATTATTTTTCATAAAACTAATTTGTGATATAACATAGAAATGAGACAACTCATGTAGAATAAACAAATGCAATACATGTAAGAAAGATGAAATTAAAAGGCAAAAACTACTTAAACTACAATTGAAAAAGTATTATTGTTGATTAGTTGTGTTGAAAATATTTAAAAATAGTATACATTATATTACATTAATGATGTATATTATTCCCAATAAAACTATAGAATATAAATGTCTTATGAATTTTTTTTATTAATTAATTAGTTTAGTTCATAAAAAATAAAATAAAATAAATCAATGTACTTCCAAAAAATAAGCTAAGTAGAATAAATTAAAAAAAAACAAAACTTAAAGCTGATTGAGTAATAGTTAATAGATTTTTGGAAGAAAAAAAAATTATAAATTAGTAAAATTATTACAGAAATATTTAACAGAAAACTAACTCAATTGTATTGGTTCATAAGATTTCAAATCAACACCATGAATAATATAAATGTTTTTCTTTTTCTTTTTTTTTCCCATTAAACCCCACTATTGTACAACTATATATTAATGGTAATTCTTGTCTATATATATATATATATATATGGTAATTTAAATGTTAATATTGTAATTTTGGCTCCGTTATTTTATATTCTCCACCATATATCAACCTTCTAAATTATATCTTATTCTCCCTTAATTAAAAGGTCTCAAAATCTTGTGTAACTATTTTAAGTAAATAGAACACGAAATAAAAGGAATACAATTATTATAAACACAATATATAAGATTAGGAATAATATTATTATAGTTATATCATACAAATATTTCAAAAATAAAAGATTTTTGCTGAAAGAGGAGGAGGGAGAAAACAACACCAAGAAGTGACACGTGTAATTCCTGGTATCTTTTTTAGTATTATATTATGTTATGATTGTAAGAATTTTTAGCACCCCGCCCTTTAGAATAAATTCAATCATTATTTTAATCCATGGTATTTATTGGAAAGGATTTTTAATTGGTAAATTTACCGATTAATTTGAGATATTTATTTGACCTACAATACCGTACACGTTCAATAAGACAATTCAAACATCATTACTTCAATGGAAAAACTCAACTTTATTCCATGTCTGGATCACAAATTCACAGTCATATCTTCATATCGGTACATTGAGTATACATTCGAACTAAAAACGAAAGTAGTAAAAGCTAAACTTGTAAAAAAAAAAAAACCCTTAAACACAAAGTTGATATGCCTGTATAACGTCTAACAAAAAAAAACAAAAAAAACAAACAAACTAGATAGCGTGTAAACGTGATTATAGTATTCACACGCATAATCACCTTCATTCCTCAACCCCTTAATTTCTCTGGCACTTATAAATATACTCCCACCTAGGGGTGTACACCGGTCCAAAACCGGACCGGACCTGAACCGGACCTGTTTGGACCGGGGACCTGAATTGGGTAATTATGAGGACCGGGGACCGGACCTGAATTAACAGGTCCGGTTCCGGGCCAGACCTGAAAAATCAGGTCCGGTCCGGGTTTGGACCTGAATGGACCTGTTTTGTGTCTTTTTCGTTTTTTTTTTAATACAAAACCTGTTGGACCTGCATATGGACCTGCATATGGACCTGTTTTGTGATTTTTAGACCTGTTGCATAATTTAATAATTACATACAAACCAAAATTATCAATTACAAAACTACATAAAGTCTATAAAGTCCCGATTCTCAAACACCAAAAATACAAATGAGTCCACCGAAAATACAAATAAGTCCACGAAAACTCATAAAATTACATAAATTCTCTTAAGTCTCAACTCTCAAGTACTAGGAATATACATAAATTCTCCAACGAGTTGTTTTCCCTTTGATCGCGTGATTCACACTAATGAGTCCACGAAAACAACTTCATCGTCTACATTGTTAGATTCACCACGTTGCACCTCTAAATAAAATACAATATAGAATATATTAATGATTGATAACAATGAAATAATAAATTTGGTGTAACAAAATTTCAAATACATAAAATTATTACTACCTTTCTCTATTTCCTCTAACTCTTTCAAATTTTCTTCCACATCAACAATTGGCACTTCCTTAGCTCTAAGCCAATCTTGTGTGCAAAGTAACGCTTGAACCATCTTCAATACAAAAATATTACACAAATATGTATAAACAAAGTCATATTAAGATATAAACAAACTTGATTTTATAAAATAAAAAGATAACGATGCATTACCTTAGGAGTTAAAGAACTCCGAAATGGATCTAGAGTACGACCTCCCGTACCAATAATTTACAAAACAGTAATATACTCCCATTACCCAGGCATTTATGAAAAGAAGAATCAGGAACAAGGGCAGGCAGTAGAAACAAGTAGAAATGTGCAGACAAGGAGGTTGGAGAGAGTATAAAGTAACAGTGAAAGAAGTTTGAAGGTCCTTGGACATGAAACATTCAGGATTGATTTCTCGGTAAGTGGAACAATTGCAGAGGACATGGGCACAACATTCTATCAAGAAATTAATTAAACAGGCTAATTTTTTCTCCCTAATACTTGAGCTAAAGGGAAATTATTATACACACAAAACTACCTATAGAACATTTGCTTTCACTAGTATACAGAAAAATCAAGTAGTTACATTGATAACCAAATCACAACTTACATTGTGAGGACCAATTATAGTACCCGTCCAAGAACGCATGTAGATATCATCACCTTCATCCATTCCATAGCTGACGCTCCCATCTCCAATCCCTTTTTCACCACGTTCAAGTTCTTCTAGCAACCTGAAGTTCCTGGGAACTGTATGACCATATCATCAGTAAAAGTACAACTGAGAATACATACTTCATAATGCAGTTCTAGTGTAGTTGTACATGATATTCAGCTAAAAGGAGGTATAAGTAGCCAATATCCAGAGAATTACTCACAAAACATTCTTGAAAGAAGAGTCAACTGGTTATGCAATTAGAAAAAGGCAAGCATGATTCAACCGAAAGTGATTGAATCATACACCTTCATTAAGATACACTATACATGTATGTATGCAAATATATGAAATTAACAATTATTGAAAGAGAGAAAATGGTGAGTGAATTGAAAAATTCCTTAGCATAACACCACCCAGCCACCCCGAAAACCCATCTCCACTCTCGGTGACCCTACCAGCCACCACGAAAACCCCATCTCCACTCCCGACAACCCCATCAACATTCACAATTTTCCATCCAGCCATCCCAAAAACCCCAGCTCACCACCCCAACCCACCCCACCCCACCCCACTGCCACCCCTTAACCCTTAACCCCCACACACCAGAACCGTACCACCGTAACCCCACCATAACCCCACCCCAACCCACCCTACCACACAAATTTTCGCACTAAATTAATCTTAATAATCATAATAAACACAAAATTTCGAACTAAATTTCGCACTTGAACCCTAAACTTCTTAATTCTTATGAACCCTAAACTCAAAAAAACCAAAAAAAAAAACAGAAATTCGAAAGAGATGAACTAAAAATAAGAAATTCAACATGCAAACATCAAACAATCATTAAAAGCAATTGAAAATTTGAAACAAGAATAAACATATAAATTCTCACACTTAATTTATTATTTCGAATTAAAAATACCAAAATTATAAGCAAATACTTACCAGATATTATCGGTGTGCATCGCCTGAGAGAATGAGGGAGGTGTCGGCAGTGGGCGGTGGCCGGAGCGAGTTGGGACAGCCGGACAGCCGCGTTGAGAAGTTGAGATTGAGGGAGGCCGAGAGTTTGGGCTTAGGGAGTTAGGGTTAGAACTTAAAAATATGAAAGAGATTGAGGGAGGCTGAGAGAATCAGATATTTTCTTGTTTTTTTTTTTTTTTTTTTTTTTTTTTTTTTTTTTTTTTTTTAATTACGATTTCCCGGGTTTCAGGTCCGGACCTGAAAACCCCGGGTTTGGACCGGGTCCGGGAACCTGGATTTTTAAGAACCGGGACCGGACCTGAATCAACAGGTCCGGGTCAGGTCCGGTCCGGTTCAGGTCGGTTCAGGTCCGGTTTCAGGTCCGGGCCAATTTTTGTACACCCCTACTCCCACCACTCTTCTTTTCCGTTCCAACTTTTCTCTTCTCTCTCTTTTTCTCTCTCCTCCTATAAATTAAACTCCAATTTAAACGCACAGTTTAGCACTCACTAATATCATATCATAATCATAATCATTTCATTTTCATTTTTATTTCAACTTTCCAACCACAACTTCATTTACCTATTATAATTAAATCAGTCAAATTAATCAATCATTTTTTTCCTTATCCTAGCCTTAATTAATTCCCCAAAACCATATTATTAGTGTTACTATAAAAGTGCCTATCCCGTTATTTCATTCTCTTGTTTTTATTTCCTCTCTATTTCTAGACTACATACATTCTTTGAATTTCGTTCAGAAAGCATGGTGATGAATCATAGAAACAAGCTAATTATAAGCTTGATTCTTGCATTAATCGCGATTATTAAACCGATTAATTGTGATTGTTCTACAAATGTTAGTAGAAAGAGTTTTCCAAAGGGCTTTGTTTTTGGCACTGCATCTTCTGCCTATCAGGTACGCTACCTTTTTTTTTTTTTTTTTTTTTCCTTAAGAATATCGTCACAAGAAATGAAGGAAATTGCAGGAGATAGCTAGTTTAGTCATGTGATACGTCTTTGTATGTTTGTAATTTTTTATAATACTTTCTTCGTATCTATTATCAACCTTTGTCGATGCATAATTTCAACTGCTAATATGTTTGAATTTTGATAAGTAGTTATTAATACTTAAAATATATGTTTAGAACTTTTTAGAAGTGTCTAATAAGATTTCACGACACCTGAAAAAGTCACTAACATTGCAACCAAAAAAACAAAATAAATCGTAGAAAGTATGAATAATTTTCTTTTTTAAAAGAATATGTGGTAGAGAGAATGTAAGATGACAAAGAATAATTAGAGGAGGAAATAAGAAACAAAGGATAGACCATAGAGATGAGACAAAAGCTTAAAAATTTTAAGGAGGAAGTCTTGCGAGTTTTATTCCTTGCTTCTAGCTTATTCTAGTTGAATGCCAAATAAAAGAAAGTGAAGCATAAAGCCAAAGGCAATATGCAAAAAGCAATTTTTATTTTTAAAACAAATGACATTGATTATGAAATATTAATTATTTATTGTATGATTAGTACGAATTAGTTTAGACTTTTTGTTAAAATATACTTGCATCGGCTGTTCAGCGGTGGCGAATCCAAAAATATTTTATGTACTTTTGTATGTAGGCGATTTTAAACCTTAAAAAGTATAATTTTGACTTATTTGTGGATGTTCACTTAGAGGGCAAAAAAGCAAAATGGGTCCGACCTTGTAATGATAATATGTCGAAAATGCTGGTGTAATCTTAGCTTTGTTTAGAAGGAATTCCTTATATATTTATAAATAGTTCCTTCAAGGCACATTAGCTAAGTTGGTGAATAAGACGTAACGCAGAAATTAGGGTAGTAAGTATGCCTGAAATAGGTGGTGGAGTACTTTGGGATTATTCATACTACATACGACATAAGATACTCCATACAAAATACTAACAAAGTTGAGTATGGTTTTAGCGTTTGAATGTGTATTACGAGTAATTATTATGTTTTTTTTTTTACGATTACATAATATTATTAGAACATACCTTGAGTATGATATGAAGATTAAAGTCTTATACTCTATATATTTTATCTTTAGTACTCATGTTTATTTAAGAATATAAACCTTTTTGTTGAGATATTTAGGTAATTTTCACTTCTATAAATATTTTCCAATGAAAAAAAAAAAAAAGAATATTGGTTTTAATCTGTTGCACTAGTATAGTGGGGTTGGTAAAGAGTTTGAATGTGAAGAGATGTGAGAAGTCAATGTGGAAGTATGGCTGTCTGGGCATCTAGCTAGGCCCTTTGTCCACTAATCTCTGTTTCTTTGCCACCCAATAATCTTTTATCCTAAGATACACAATTTATTTTGTTTAGAGAGTCATAAGAGCAGATTAGCGAGAATCTATTCCATAATTTATTAAAATTGGGAGGGAAACTTTAACCACCGAGCTATCCCTTACTCTCGTGTAATATACTCTATTCGTCCGTTTTTATTTACACCATTTATCCGTTAAAGTTCTCACATAAAACGGGCCCTTGGTTAAAAAAAGAAACTGAGGGAGCAAGTCATAGTTCAAATTTCTTAATTTATTTTTTTCCTTGACTATTCTAATTTTTAAGATGGTGCTTTAGCAATACTGTATTAGGCCTATTAGGCCACAAAGAGAATGAATTTAATGAAATTTGAAATATTGGGTGCATATTAATTTTGCAGTACGAAGGAGCTGTAAAAGAGGACGGCAGGGGACCCTCTGTCTGGGACACATTTGCACACAAATTTGGTAATTTTTTATTTTATTTTTATTATAGAATAATTCATACGTATCACACTATTTACGCCATTAATCCTTTTACCTTTGGCCTATAAAGTCATAATATTATGCCAATATTCTCTCTTTTTCTTACCTTATATTAAAAAAAAAAAAAAAAAAAGTCGTCGCACTCACATTTTTGAGGAGTAGGTGATTTATACAAGTCTCAAATTTCGAGAATCATGAAATATAAATGATGACTAATCTTAATTTAGGACGTTATTCTCGTATTAGTATAAATGTGACTTTCGTCTAACACACAAAGTCATAACTACATTTGCAACACTTTTTAAGTTGTTGAGAACAATGCATATTCAAAGCTTTCAAATCTCCGGGAAACTAGCCAACCTAGTTAAAAGAATATTGATATTGTGTGATTTGTGTCATTATAGATAAGTGTGGCCACGTCTCAAATAATTATAATGATATATGTTTCTGTTGATATTTGGAATGCTTATGATGGTACTTGTTTCTCGCTAGTACTCAAGATAAATTATGATGGTATTTATATCACGGAGTAAATAATTTTCAGTACAACGCGAGCTGAGCTAAGTATCATATAGTAGTCCAGTAGTCCTCATCGAATGATAGCTATTAGCCTATTAGGCAGGCTTGTATTAAGTAATCGAATTAAAAATCTGAACCTCGTATCAATTAACAAAAAGTCTTTTTGTATGACTATTTCGGCCCTCTTTTAGCTCTCTAGGCCGTCTATTCATGCTGTCTCCTATATGATCAAGTCTTTGACCAAGGACAAACTATTCATGATATAAGATTTTTGAACTTAGAAGATTCAAATTCAATAGTCAATTACTCATTAATCATGTCAAATCTGTTAATTTTGGTGCAGGCAAAGTCATTGATTTTAGTAACGCTGATGTTGCAAATGATCATTATCATAAATACCTAGTAAGAACTACTCTCACTTTTGAAATTTTCTTTGTGGAGTTGTGGTACATCCGGATTTTTGATAAAAGGCGGAATGAACATATAATTATTTTGTAAAGATGTTTCTTTTTATATATCTAAAAAACATCCATAATATTAATAAATAACATGATAATATTATATAATGAACATTATTTATATTCACCCACCATAATCTAAAGACAAAATTTAAAGAACATTTCACTGTAAACAATGAATATTATGTCACAAATAAAAAACATTACACTAACAATTAAATAACGCGGAGATAAAGAATATTATTTAACAGTGTGTTCTTTATAAAATAGTGTCATGTTCATTATTATTAATAGCTTTATGTTTTTTTTATATCTCTTATGTTTTTTTGTTTTATCACGTTCATTACATTTTAACAATATGTTGTTTTTCACTTTAGATATTTGTTCTTTACAATTCTATACCATGTTCTTTTCACTTTAATTAAATGTTCTTTTTATTTTAACTAAATGTTCTTTACATTTCTATACAATGTTCTTTCCGCTTTTTTTTTTTTTTTTGAATGGATGTACCATGCGCATGGTACATCCGCCTCCATGAACCACTAATTGTCTCACTTTGATGTTCATAGCATAAATTCAAAAATATTGTTCTATGTTTTTGCATGTTATTAAATTTTATGGACATAAACAGGAAGATGTAAAACTTATGAAGGACATGGGAGTCGATGCATACAGGTTTTCGATATCTTGGACTCGGATATTTCCAAGTAATTCATCTCTCCACTAATGAAACTTTCTTTTGATTAGCAACTGCTAGTCCTTAAATGAAACTTTCTTTTGGTGCTTAATCATACACAATGTTTTGATTGATAGATGGAACTGGCCAGATAAATCAAGCCGGAGTTGATCACTACAACAATCTAATCAATGCATTACTAACTAATGGTACATAATTTATCAATCGATTTTGATAGGACTATGTAGTTATCGAATGCTATTAATTATAGTGAAAATGTGGCTTAACTATGTGCTATAGGAATTCAACCATACGTGACAATGTACCATTGGGACACTCCTCAAGCCTTGGAGGATGCTTACAAAAGTTGGCTTAGCCCTCAAATCATGTAATAATTCTCCATCATATATCAACTCGAAGTTCATGTTGTTTATTAGGTTGATATACATTTTTATACGGTGCTTTTCTCTGTATGTATGTTTAATTTCAGAAATGATTTTGGGGTCTACGCGGAGACTCTATATCAGAAATTTGGGGACAGAGTTAAGCACTGGATAACACTAAACGAGCCCCATACAGTTGCTTCTCAAGGCTATGATATAGGCATTTTTGCTCCAGGGCGGTGCTCTATCCTCCTCCATTTGTTTTGCAGGGCAGGGAACTCTGCCACTGAGCCTTATATTGTTGCTCATCACTTGCTTCTTGCTCATGGTACTGCAGTCGATATTTACAGAAGAAAATACCAGGTAAATGTACTTTTATTGTGAATTTATCAGCTGACTTTTAATCTAAAGATCAACTTTTAACATTATTATGTACTTGGAAGAGTTAACTTGATTGAGAGTACTAGTGACATGTTTAGATAGTAGTTTTAATTGAATGTTTGTGATATTGGCAGAGAAAACAGCGCGGATCAATTGGAGCAGCGTTAGATGTGATGTGGTATGAGCCAGAAACCAACACAACAGAAAATATTGAAGCAGCTCAAAGAGCACAGGATTTTCAGCTTGGCTGGTATGATTGATAATCTTTTGGAGTATTATATTTACTCTAGCTATAAGTTTAGCTACATTTTCGAATAAAATGATATAACTAAGTGGAATAAAAAATTGTTAGGTTTCTTGATCCATTGATGTTTGGAGACTATCCTGCTTCAATGAGGCAGCGAGTAGGGGACCGTTTGCCAAAATTTACTGCAGCAGAATCAGCTCTTCTCAAAGGGTCTCTAGATTTCGTTGGCATAAATCATTACACTACATATTATGCAAGAAACAACAAGACTGATATTATTGGGATTCTGCTCAATGATGCTCTTGCTGATTCTGGCACTGTAACTTCGCGTAAATCTTACTTGAACCCTACTTAATCAATTTATGCTGCTACTTGATCTGACTATATTAGAATTTCAACCATTTGTGTTTTTTTTTCTTTTCATTTTCAGCATTTGGTCATGACGGGAAACCTATCGGAGAGAGGGCTAATTCGATATGGCTGTACATTGTACCTCGGGGAATGAGAGAATTGATGAATTATATCAAGAACAAATATGGAAATCCTATGGTCATCATAACTGAAAATGGTAAACTAGCATTTTAAATCTGCTACTGTTGCGAAATAGTTGGCCTTTATGTAAGCATCACATACATATATATGTGTTACAGTCCAACATAACATCTACTATAACATGATGTAACTCTTATAAGATAGAGTGCGCAGGCTGCTCAGGTGGTTGGAGCTACCCCCGGCACCCTGAGATAGGCCGGGGAGTCGAGTACTCGCCTTTTGTCAAATAACAAAATATTTCTCAGTGTAACAGAACATACTGCTACACCACTTAGAACTCTGAAATATAGTGCACTTAAAATCTGAATTGTTGCAGGGATGGATGATGGGAACAATATATTCAGATCCTTGAATGACTCGCTTAAAGACGAGAAAAGAATTCGATACTACACCGGCTATCTTGAAAATTTGGCTGCAGCTATCAAGTAAGTAACAATGATGCAAGGAAGTACATGATGTTATTAATTAGCTAGGCCTAATACAATTCGGATCGAATCATTTACAAGGTTGATTATTTGTTAAAAATGCAGGGAAGATGGGTGTAATGTGAAAGGATACTTTGCATGGTCATTTCTGGATAACTGGGAATGGGCAGCAGGATATACTTCTAGATTTGGTCTTTATTATGTGGATTACCAGAACAATCAAAAGAGATATGCCAAGAATTCTGTTCAATGGTTTAAGAACTTCTTTGCTTGTTGAACCATTCAATTTGGACTGAAAGTGAATTTGAAACTGGGAAAAATTGAAATGAAAGATTGAAAAGAAACAACAAAGGGTGTTTATGTGACTATTCTTCCAATTGTATTTGTACTGATAAAAAGTGAATCACACAGATTATTTGCACTCTATATTTACTTTTCCAGTCATGTTTATTTTATTTATTTATTTTTATTTTTTTTTTGGTGGGTGTAAAGAGAAGTAAAATGGATAGATGATGTATGTAAATAAAATTTGATCTTAGGTCTTGGATACCACTTCCTAGACTTTAACCAACTAAGTTAGCTGACTATACAAAGACCACACGTCCTCACTCCACACCAAAACTTACAGGTATAAAGAGGGTTAAATATACATAACTAATTTTTACATGACATCAACGGATCAACATCAATACCATTTCATTAAGCCTTGCTTTCCATCACACATAATTACCGACGAACAAATAAGAAACTTTGATTGACATCCTATACGTTAAATCAAAGACGAGAGAATTAATCATGATAGTATAAAGAATATTAACCTCATACAGTCCATAGTCTAGAGTCTTCAGACTACAAAGATTCCAGATTGTTTGAGGGGATTCACAAATCAATCCGTTATTTCAAAAGTGATTGACCGTATTGTCTATTGAGCCAAGATTCATTTAAGCAATTCTAGATTTATATTCGATTAAACCCATTAATATACTTAAACTTTCTCGTAACTCTGTTAATATTGATTTATCATTAACTTCAGATTATACATCATCTAGAGCCCCCATCCCTATTGCTCAACACACATGTTACTCAAATTACAGGATGGTAATACAAATTACCTTTTTTTTTTTTTAAGAATGGTAATACAAATTACCTAAATTGTCTTTTACAAACATAAGTTTGATTAAATTTCCATGAAGCAGGAGCCACATCATCAGCTTGCACCATTTTTCCATCACTAGTAGTCACTTGAAACGACAAACTTTGTCCAACAAGCGTAGCATTAGTCTCCCAATTTTGTCCCCAATTCCTTCTCATTTGTAACCAACTAGTAGTGTCGGAACCCTTAACCTTAACATCCTCAACATCCCCTACACCACCCACGTTATAAACGAGTACAAGGATCCAATTCGGGTTTCCCTTAAACTCGAACTTAAGGCCTCCTTGTTTATTACAATTTACCCGGCGATAAGCCACAGGGACAATGCCTGCCTCATACACCGCGATTTTCCTAAACATTGGTTGTGATAGATCAAAGTGCTTCAAGGGAGGGTTGCACCAATTTTCGTTAGGTTTAGTGTAGTTAGGAGGGCAAAAGTTGGTGGCTGTTACATGGATTTGGGTACCATTAAGACACCATTTTGAGTCTTTACACATGATTTGGTAGCAAGCGCCACATGTTAGACCGTCGTTGAAGAGGGCCGTGCTTAATGCTGTCGTTTCGAGTCCATAGCCTTGTTGGGTGAGATTTCCATACCCACAAGCTCCTTCTGCAAGTGTACATAATATGATCACCAGGCCAATTTGTGAAAAAAATAACAAGTTTAATTTTGTATAGTTTTTAACATATTAAAACTTAGATTAGGGCATATCTAATTGTTACTTGAAGCATATATAATCAAACAAAAATCAAATTGTGAGTATAACTTAATTATTGCCTAGAATGATGCATGCATGCATGCATCTAAGGTCTGTGTTCATTATTGTTCTCTACAATCAATTTGTTGTTGTTTTCTTATCGATGATGATTTTGAGAAATTGAAGCAAAGAGTTAGATACCATACAATTCATGCATGGGTTAAAGCTTTAAGAAATTACGTTTCTATAACATTAATAAATGGTTTAATCTAATCCCTTGCTATTAAATAGACATTAAAAAAAAAAATATATATATATATATATATATATATATATATATATATATATATATATATATATATATATATATATATATACTTGCCTCACCTAAATCTATTAGAATTTTTTTTTGAGATTGAAAAACTCAAAAAGTCATGCAAATTGGAAAAAGTAATGAAAAGAATATAGGGATCGGGTTACAATTAAATGATGTACTTGTATAGTCGTAGGTAATAACTATTCAAGAAAATAATTTTCATTCTTCATACATTCAAATCTATTTTGCTTTATTAATTAGGTGTAAATATACTGTTAAAAAATTATAATAAAGAAAAAAAAAAAAAAAAAAGGTGTAAAAATAACAAGGCCCGCCAATCCAATTATCTCTAGTTATATCTTTTCAGTGTTAATTCTACCATGCATCCTATATTTCCCCAATTAATATCCCGATCTAAAACTTTAAATGAAATTCAATTTTAAGACATGTTGAAATCATGTTTATATATGGTGATGTCTCCGATCTCTAATGCACCTGATAATTTGTACGGAACTTTTACACATAGTCACAACATGTCAACATTACTTATCAACGTTAAGTCAAATAAAATAAGGCCGGAATATATAAAAAAGAGAAATAAGATATTGAAAAACTTACGCATGGTTTCACGTCCATCCATGCCACCGTAGTTCGTTGCACGGGCAAATTCCCAGTCATTTTCAATTTTAGCATCAATAGCAAATATGGTTGTAAGCAGCATAAGGACTAAGGTGATGTTTAACTTAGCACCCATTTTTTTTTTTCTCTCTCTCTCTCTCTTTATTTCGTTTTTTGAAGTTTTCTGTATGTCATGTGTAGAAATGTCTCCAAGTAAACAAAGTATTTATAGACACATTGCTTTAAAAGTTTGCTTACCTAGGTGGAAAATCAAATTTTTTTTGATACTCCTAATTAATAAGGGAGTAAAAAAAAAAAGTGAAATAGAATCAATGTGGAAGTGTAGTTGATGCGTTTCTTTCTTTTTCTTTTTTTTTTTTTTGTACAATTCAAATTTTCGAGTAACGGTACATCGTTAAATTTTTGCTTCCAAAAGTTGATGTCAATTAATAAATTGAATTTTGTCTGCATTATTTTTCGTGTGACTCTTGAAAAAAAAAAATTCTTTTTTGAAAAGTAAAAAAATATGATTTGTACAGTTCTTTCTTTGAAAAGTAAAAAATATGATTTGTACAGTTCAACTTATTCAAATTTATATTAGCTTATTTCATAAGTAATCAGATCAGGTCTTCTTTTTTTTATTTGCTTTTGTTAATTGTTGAATATCTTTATTTTTGTAACATAGATAATTATGAAAACTTCATATATAGAAAGTACATATATATTACTACTAATCTAATATCTAATTTAACATTTTTTTTAATCTTACAGATCAATGTACATGTAAGGTCAAAATTTAGTCAAATCTAAAAAAGATTAGATCATGTGAATTGTACATCGCCTTAGTTGCCAGGTTTACAAGTTTGGTGATGTGATAACCTGGACTCTTGGAGTCTCGAGAATGATGCATGTGATTGAAACATGAAAAATGTTAAAAAGATAAGTAAAAATTTAAATATAATTTAATTTTTAACTACACTTATTAGCACAATTTAGTAGGACGGGATCAAAATGCATTTTTTTTCTAGAAATAGATTATTTTTCGTAAGAAAATTCTCTCCTCACGACCCTCGATTGCATTACAAGCTCTGATAATTTCATATTAGGGTTATATTCAAGCTCAACACAAAACTAATATATAGATTCATAAATTTCGAATTTCTATATATCGAGTTAATTATGTACAAATAAACTAGTTCAAACAAGGAAAGATTAAGGTAAAGCAAATAGAGTCTGGCATACAATATCACAAGCAAATCAAAGAAATTAAAAATAAAACAAAATTGATTTTTTTTTAATTTAATTTTATATTATATTTTATAATTATATTTATTTATTTTTGAATAGGAAAACAAAATTGATTGACCTACTTTAAATACACACTTGTTCTCAAAAAAAAAAATACACATTTAATGTACCAATATATTGTAGGAGAAATAGCAACAAAGTTGTGACTTCACATAATCACACAATTCACTCATGAAATTTGTGGTTACTGGAACAGAAAGTCTTCTAATCAGTTAAAGCATTAACTTATATAACTATACAAAGGTGAGGCTATAAATGCTAACACTAAAAGTGGCCCGGTGCAATTTTGTTAAATTGGGCCCTAAAATTATTTTTTTTAGGAAAAATATGTTACTAAATTCAAAAACCGGAGCCTTTTTATAGTAGTTTTACTTAGAAGCCCTGTGCGATCGACCACCTTGCACATGCTCAGAATCACCCCTGTAACTATGTAACTTCATTTGGCTTCTTGTAAAATTTATTAAAAAGAAAAAGGGTAAAAGTTGAAAATCAGTTGTGTACGGAGTAACAAATTATGAGGTTTTTTCTTTTTCTTTTTTTTTTCCATTTTTTTAATGTTCCACTTTGCTGGCATAAGTCGTATACATAAAAGACACGTTCCACTTTGCTGGAGTAACAAATTTATTGTTAGTCATTTGTTTGTTCAATAATTAATTGAGTTCTTAGGGATATGTTTGCATCACTAATAACTAATAATCCTTAAATTTTGGCTTTATAGTTATATACTTCGTATTTATTTTAGTGTAAACTTATAGGTTAATACTTCCAAGAAAACCAACTCTATACAGATAGCATACATTTTGCAAGTTTGTAAAGCCATCAATAATGTATTAATGTACCAATGAGATTTTGACCTAATGGTTAGACTGAGAGCTGGTTTACGATAGGTCACAGGTTCAAAAAGAGTGAAGCGTGAATAAAGACGCAAAGTTAGATATGCTATGAAACACAATTTTTTTTTTTTAATAAATAGAAAAAATATAAAGATAGAAATTATAATGTCACAAAAGGTACTGAACAAGTAATTTGAGCAGATAGTAAAAATAATGAAGCTATGTTTTTTTTTTTTTTTAATTTGTAAAGCGCAATATGCCAATACCAATTCCTATCTACTGTAAATTTTATTCCTGGTTTGAGAAGATACTGTTTTAAAATACTATACAAATAATTGAATCTTTATATATATATAAAATATTATTCAAATGCTAAATTAAGCATCAAAGGTTCTATGGTGTAGTGGTTAGCACTCTGGACTTTGAATCCAGCGACCTGGGTTCGACTCCCGGTAGGACCTTTTTTAATATTAAAATCGAAGATACATTATTTTATTTTTTTTAATCTATTAAAGATTTGAAATCACCTTCAAGTATTTACGCATTTATGTCCAGTGAAAGAGGTATAGGCAAGCTTAAGATTGAAATATACGTATACTCCGTACTTTGTAAATTATAATAGCCGAGTTCGTCCTAATCGGCAGTAATAGTGCATGATCAATGACTATCAGTCTATCAGAGTACATCATCATCAGTTTCTTTTTTTTTTTTTTCTTCGGAGGATCTCTGAGATTGATCGCTTACTCTGTCACAAGTATTTTTACTTTCTCATTTGGTATATTCTTTTGCTCATTCCAAAATTCTTTAATGACCCAAAATTATCAAATCAGTAAATACCTAAGTGCAATAGAGGTTTTGAATACTACGGAGTATAAACATGTACAATCAAGGTTCAAAATTTTGTCCTTTTTAGCTAGGCCACAAAGTTCTATCTGAAAACCCTGAACTGCAATCTGAAGGCTGCAGGAATTGATAATCAAAATGCTTTCATAAATCGTCCTAAAGACAATACAATTAGTGTATGTATGCATTAATATAGGGTGTAAGATCAAAATAGACAAAACAAAATCGCGCCTTCTATTTCGCATTTATTGAGGAAAAGCAAAAAAGAGAAATGAGGCAGTATCTTTCCTCTTGTTGTTTTAGTGAAATGTACAGAAATTTTAGAGCACAGAGCCCATAATCTACTAAAAAATAGTGTGTACTCGTATCAGACAGTGTCAAAAGAAAGCAGTACATAAAATGTTTCTCAAGCTTATTTATCTTGAAGCGGCTGTCAGTGATGACCAATTTTTCTCACCCAACCACGACGGTGTAACATATCTGATAAAATAATCACATAGCATTAGAGAGGAACAAATATTAAACTTTGAACTAGACAAATATTGGATTCCTTACACTTTCAAATAACCAAAATGCACAATAAATCTAGTAGCGTAGCCAGTATGTTCTGCGCCTGAACCAGTTGTAGTCGGGTAATTTCTTGATTGGTCCCATAGCAGCAATTGCAATGTCCTAAAAAGTAGGAAAAAAATTAATAAGTATACACATATGGAAAACCTAACGATATTGATGGCAAAACGTTCTATGAAAATAACCTAGTATACTGCACATTTGCTCAAATAAAACAGAAATTTGGCCTGAAGGCATAAACACTACACTTATCCCTATCACTTTTCTATCTCATCAATTCCTTTCAAACAAAAACTAAAACATAACTTCACCCCTACGAAGCAAGAAAAAAGGGATGGAAGGAGTAAAAACAACAAGGGATTCCAATAATTAATTATACCGAGTACAAATTATATTTATCACGTAAAAAGGCCATCATAGCATACATGGGAAACTATCCATTCAGAAACCAATTCTGATGGATAGGATGAGGTGGCAAAGATACATTTGGGCCTCTAAAGCTGAATGAAAAAAATGCAGCTGAAAAACAATAGACTTACCTTATCAAATAAGAAACGATCAGCCGCACGTTTCACAGCACTGGCGTCCACTGCATCAATTCTTGCAAATAGTTCAGCGAAGGGTATTCTTCTTCCATAGGTCAACAACTGCAATTAAAATAAAGACAAAAAAAATTAAGATTGAAAAGTCTGAATGATCATGGGAGCCATACCCGCAAAATTGCTATCAAGTACTAGCAGATTTCAGAAATAGGATACTAAATTTAGGCTAAATCCAGTTGGCAAATTTGAGTTCATATATGCATACAAACCTCGTAAGAAATTCAGTGCAATATGGTCATACATCTCACAAATACATTTTCAGAAGTTTAATTAATTTAATACGGTGTAGGACTTGTCAAGTTTTTCCTCTTATTTCCCTCTACAACAAAAACTTCTTTGAGGAATTAATAATTCAGATTGTCACAAATACAGTTCCCATAAGATGAATCAGGAAGCATAAAATTTAACCAAGTCATTTAACTGTTATTCCAGTAGCCATTAGTTTAACTTGCACAGACTCGATCAATAAAAAGGGGGAAAAAACAGTAGAAAGGAGTCATTCCTTGGACCAAACCATTTCAATGTAAATTAGTCGGAATCATAGCAATAGGCCAAGACGCAAAATAGGGAGGAGGAAGAGAAACATAGTCCTTTTCCCAGAAGTGATTGTTTTTTTCATCAAAACTAAACAAAAGCCCCCATTGAAGAGGGCAAAACCAAAGTAATTGACCCAGTTCATGGAAATGGCCAGCATGAGTGGCAGACCCCACATGTCAATTTAGTCGCACCTGTGGTCTGAGCTTTAATCCTCTACAGCTTTCCCGTGGAGACGAACAAGGAACAACGAAGAAAAGAAAACCAGTCTCATCAGAGAAAGCTGCCAAAAGACAGCAACCACCAACCTCATGGCTATTGAGTAGCACAAACAGATTGAATCTCCACTTAATATATTTATCCCACAGGATTTAAGTGTCAATTCTTATCTTTGATCTTAAACTGAGAAAGTGCAAAGTTTTTCTATTAAAAAGAATTCATTTTTTTAAAACTTTTTTGTTGAGGAATTTTCACTAATAGGTCATAGTGTCATACTACCTTTGTATTTTAGAACGACCCAAAATAAAGGTGACATCTATCTGGGTCAGTAAGCTGGGAAAAAAAAATAAGTATGGCCACCAGTC